TCTTAAAAACCAGAAGCAAAAACAAAACCCCTAAAAACCAAAAATCAAAACCAAAAGCAATCTTCTCTGAGTTCCCCCATTTGTAATTTGTACAAGTTTGTACATTTGTAACAGTGAGTCGAGCTGTCCTTGGTAGTGAGTGACTCCAGGTGGGCATACAGGACAAGGCCTGGGAGGGGTCTGCTGCCACTTTAACTTCTGGACAGTGTTTTAGAGAATTCTGTGTTCCTAAAGAAGGGATTAAGGATGGTTTTGTTGGGATAAAAATGACCTCGTAACCTTTCCCAGGTGTGTGCAGGGCTGTCTCCCCACATAGGCACCTGGCCTGGACTGTTCGCTAACATCTCCACCTTCTTCCAGACCCTGAGTCTCCCAGCTTCCTCACAAGCTTCCCCATAGATTAATCTTCTGACAGGATATCCCACTGCTCAGAGGGGAGTTCAGAGCCCTAAACGTGGCCCCAGCCTTTCCTTAGGAAGTCCCCATATAGCCCCTCAGCCACACTGGCTGCTCCCAGCCTCTTGTCTTGCCCCAGATTGCCCCTTCCAAGCCCCACCATCCTAGTCTTCAGTCTTCTCTGCCTGGAAGACCTTTCTTACCCTTCAGCCTTCCCTAATTTTACCTGTCCTCAAAGCCCCTGCACCATGCCTCCCTTCTTTGGACATGTCTGCATGCCAACCTTGTTTCCCAGCAGAGGAGCTGTGTTTGCTGGAGGATACCCAGGTGGTCTGGGGCTTGAAGAGGAGGGGCTGTGTTGTGGAGGCTGCGAACAGCATTCCTGGGCACTCTTAGAAGCTTAGCTTTCTTTGGGTTGGGTGTGATACGGCAGGAGAGCCAGAGTACTAGGGTTTACTCAACTTCCCAAAGGTAGACGGAGGGTGAGGAGAGGCTGGGGCTCTTTTTCTGGGGCTCATCGTCTCTCAGAGGCTCCTGGGCCCATCAGGGTATCCAGCCCCTGAGGTCTAGATCTTCGAGCCATCCTAGGGACAAGGAGGTGGGACATGGTTCTGGCCCTGACTGGCTACCAGCTAGGGGCAAGCTCAGCTCTCCAGAGTCTAGCCATCCAGCTGGATGATGATGAGAAGACCAAGCTAGCCAGAATTTGGAGCCCTGGCCACCTGTTTGGCCTATCAGCACTCAGTGTGGTCTTGGTTGGGTTGTTATTTACCCCTGGTGTGACTCTTCATGAATTTTCTTTTTCTTTCTTTCTTTTTTTTTTTTAGTCTTTTTAGATTCATTTATTATTTTTTTAAGATTTATTCATTTATTTTAGGGATGTGGAGGGGAGAGAAAATCTCCAGCAGACTCTGTGCTGATTGTGGAGCCTGACAGGGAACTCAGTCTTAAAATTCTGAGATCATGACCTGAGCTAAAACCAAGAGTTGGACGCTTAAACAGCTGCACCACCCAGGCGCCCCCAACTCTTAAAAGATGAGATATTTGCAAAAGACCTATCTGATAAAGGGCTGTTATCTAAAAATTTACAAAAAATTCTTACTTGACTTTTATTTTTTATTGTTTATTTGCTTTTAAAGATCTTATTTATTTGACAGAGAGAGACAGCGAGAGAGGGAACACAAGCAGGGGGAGTGGGAGAGGGAGAAGCAGGCTTCCTGCTGAGCCAGGGAGCCCAATGCAGGGCTCCATCCCAGGACCCTGGGATCATGACCTGAGCCGAAGGCAGACGCTTAACGACTGAGACACCCAAGGTGCCCCATATTTTTATTTTATTTTTTTATAAAGATTTTTATTTATTTATTGAGAGAATGGTAGAGAGCATGAGAGGGAAGAAGGTCAGAGGGAGAGGCAGACTCCCTGCTGAGCAGGGAGCCTGATGCGGGACTCGATCCCGGGACTCCAGGATCATGACCTGAGCCGAAGGCAGTCGCTTAACCAACTGAGCCACCCAGGCACCCTATTTTTATTTTATTTTTAAAGATTTTATTTATTTAAGAGAGTGAGCGAGAGAGCACAAGCTGGAGGAGAGTCAGAGGGAGAGGAGGAAGCAGGGGGAGAGGGAGGAGCAAACTCTCCGCTGAGCAGGGAGCCTGATGGGGGACTCATCCAAGGACCCTGGGATCATAGCTTGAGCTGAAGGCAGATGCTTAACCTACTGAACCACCCAGGTGCCCCAAGGGTCTGTTTTAAAATGGGCAAAAAAGGGGTGCCTGGGTGGTCCAGTCAGTGCGACTGCCTTCGGCTCAGGTCATAATCCCAGGGTTCTGGGATCGAGTCCCGTATCAGGCTCCCTACTCAGTTGGGAGTCTACCTCTCCCTCTGCCCTTTCCCCTGCTCATGTTCTCTCTCTCTCTCTCTTAAATAAAATCTTCAAAAAATTTAATAAAATGGGCAAAAAATCTGAACAGATATCTCACCAAGGAAGATAAATATATAGATGGCAAATAAACATATGAAATAGTCAACATCATATTGTTATTAGGGAATTGCAAATTAAAATAACAAGATACCACTACAAACCTATTAGAATGACAGCAATCTAAAACACTAACACTAGGGCTCCTGGGTGGCTCAGTCGGTTAAGCGGTTAAGCGTCTGCTGCCATCTGCCTTCGGCTCAGGTCATGATCCTGGAGTCCTGGGATGAGCCCCATGTCAGGCTCCCTGCTCAGTGGGGAGTCTGCTTCCCCTCTCCCTCTGCCTCTCCTTCTGCCCCTTTCCCTGCTCATCCTCTCTCTCTCTTTCTCTCCTTCTCTCTTTCTCATAAATGAAATCTTTAAAAAAATAAAACATACCAACAAATGCTGGGGAGGATGTCTCTCGGTGAGGAACTCTCATTCGATGGTGGTGGAAATGTAAAATAGTGCAGCCACTTTGGAAGGCAGTTGGTGATTTTTTTTTTTTTTTTTTTTAACAAAACTAAACATACCCTTGGGAGGCCTGGTTGGCTCAGTCAGTTAAGCCTCTGCCTTCGGCTCAGGTCATGACCCCTAGGTCCTGGGATCAAACCCCACATTGGGCTCCTTGAGCAGGGAGCCTGCGTCTCTCTCTGCTGCTTCCCCTGCTTGTGCTCTCTCTCTCTGACAACTAAATAAATAAAATCTTTAAAAATAAATAAAATAAATGTCTTTAAAAAACAAACAAACAAACAAACAACTAAACATACTCTTAATCTACAATCCAGGAATCTTGCTGCTTGGTATTTCCCCAGAGGAGTTGGGAAGGTGTATCCACACAAAAACCTGCACACAGATGTGTAAGTCAGCTCTATTCATAGTTGCCAAACTTGGAAGCAACCAAGATGTCCTTCAGTGGGTGAATGGATAAAATAAGTGGTGCTAAATCCAGACAATGAAATATTCAGTGCTAAGAAGAAATGAGCTATTGTGCCATGAAAAAAACATGGCAGAACCTTAAATGCATATTACGAAGTGAAAGAAGCCATCTGTAAAGGCTATATATACTGTCAGATTCTAACTCTAATGTATGATACCATACCAAAACCATAAAATGAATACCAAGAGTGAACCCTAACGTAACTGGACTGTGGGTGATAATGAGATGTCAGTGTAGGTTCATTGATTGTAACAAACAGCCACTGTATGAGGGATGTTGATAGTGGGGGAGGCTGTGTGTGTGGAGGAACAGACATACAGGAACCCAGCTCAGCTTTCCTCTGCTATCCAAAAGTAGAGCATTCTGGGGCGCCTGGCTGGGTCAGTCAGTGGAGCCTGTGACTCCTGATCTCAGGGCTGTCAGTTTGAGCCCCAGATTGGGTGAAGGGATTACATAAGAATAAAATCTTAAAAACCACACAAAGTAGAGCGTTCCTAGGAAACCTTGTGTAAGCCAAAATGGTGTAAAGCAAAGAAACAGTTGGTTACTATTAATTTACATGGAAAAAAGGTTTAGTGTTCCCAGACCCCAAAAATAACCTCTCTTAGGCTTGTCTGATACTTTAGGACACATCTTGCTAACAGATAACACAAAATAAATCAGATAAAGAACAGGTGCTCACAGACACAGTTCAGAGCTTGTCACCAAGACACCGAGTGTAGTTCCCGGGGAAGGCTCTGGGCGGCGCCACCACTCTGGCTGCTCCTGGTGCGCGTGCTGCCTCTCTAAAGGATTGCAGGCAAAACAAACACGTGTGCTGAAAACAGCACTTTGTTTTCACTTTTTTGCATTTTTTGGTAAAAGTGAAAATCCTCTTCAGATTTCTTTCTCTTGGCTAGCAAAACAGGTACTAATGTAGGCCTTTTGTGAAAGTAAAGTGGCGTCTCTCAAACTTTTGGAAAGTGAGGGATACCTGGACTTCCCTCTTGGTGTTGCTGTAAACCTAAAACTACGCAAAGTCTATTAAGGATACAAAGATAGGGGCGCCTGGGTGGCTCAGTCGTTAAGCGTCTGCCTTCGGCTCAGGTCGATCCCAGGGTCGTGGGATCGAGCCCCGCATTGGGCTCCCTGCTCCGCGGGGGGCCTCCTTCTCCCTCTCCCTCTCCCACTCCCCCTGCTTGTGTTTCCTCTCTCACTCTGTCTCTATCAAATAAATAAATAAAATCTTAAAAAAAAAAAAAGAATACAAAGATAAAGTGACCACACCATCAATCTCAGAGCTTTCTGGAACTTAGCAGACATCTTGCTCTAGAAATACTGATCGAGGGCGCCTGGGTGGCTCAGTCGGTTAAGCGGCTGCCTCCGGCTCAGGTCATGATCCCAGGGTCCTGGGATCAAGTCCTGCATCGGGCTCCCTGCTCAGCATGGAATCTGCTTCTCCCTCTGCCCCTCACCCCGCTCAGGCTCACTCGCTCTCACTTCCTCTCTCTCTCAAATAAATAAAGTCTTAAAAAAAAATGAAATAGAGAAAGAAAAATAAAAAAAAAAGAAACACTGATCGACTGTTGGTTGCCCTCAAGGTGACAAGGCTTCAGTTGGCATACTGCTTGAAATAAATTAGTTTTTCAAGTAAACAGACCGATTCTGTCTCAGCAACAGGTTTTTGAGCTGTAGCGTGTTCATTTGGTCTTTTCTCGTTCCCTGCAGGACAACCCTCCATATGATAAGGGGGCCTTCAGAATCGAAATCAACTTTCCAGCAGAGTACCCATTCAAACCACCGAAGATCACATTTAAAACAAAGATCTATCACCCGAACATCGATGAAAAGGGGCAGGTCTGTCTGCCAGTAATTAGTGCTGAAAACTGGAAGCCAGCAACCAAAACCGACCAAGGTAAAGCATGCTTCTTATGTCTTCCTCGGATGTTGCTGCCGTGGGCAGGGGCTCTTCAGTCCTTTCTAAGGCCATGTCTCACAGAGTCCAGAGAAATCTTACCTGACCAACTCCAGTGCATGCAGAAGTGCTGCTGAGGTTCCACCATTCCTTGTGGGAGGGGCACATCTCAGTTAAACTGTTGACCTGTGTAGGTATTGGAGGAGGCCCATCTGTGCTCCCAGCCAGTGGAGACACATGTAGAGAGACCAGCCCAGCATTGGCTACCTGTGCAGTGAGGGGGTGTGGGCACTGTCCCTGCAGGTTTTCATGAGGGATCGCATGGCTGCTCTGAGTGAGAAAGGGCAAGTGGTGTTTAAGGTGACCTCACACAGGAGTTAGCACATGAACTCAGACTTGAAGGAAGAAGGGAGGTTGGAGAGGTCCTGCCAGACTAAAAGAAGGGCGTAAGGCAAAGCCATGTGGGCAGCACAATGCTAGTGGCTCAGGGGGTGGTGTGGGGGGAAAGGGCATCGTCATGTGGGCTGTGTACCCTGATGAAAGCACAGAGTTGGCTTTAGTGGGCCTAGAATTCCTTGTAATTGTATGTGGCCACGTGTCCAGGTCCCTCTGTGTGAACATACATGTGCTCATTTTTCTGGGAAAGGTACTTGATTCATTATTACGGTTAGCCTTCCTCTTGTCCCATGGAAGTATCTAGATTTTGTTAGACTGTGTCCAGTTTTTGTTAACTCCAGAACTTTCTTTTGAACTCCTGATCTCGTATTTTTAGTGGCTTTCTGATGTGTAGCTACCTGAACCACTATACAGTCTTTTCAGATTAAAGGGAGTGGATGAGGCTGGAATTTGTGAGGCCACAGGTGGTTTCTCAGTGACCAGTATAGTCATTTTTCAGTGGAACCCCTGGAAGATGGAGTTGAAAATCTTGCACAGGAAGTCAAGCCTTCCTTATTTGAAATAATAGCCGTGAAAGGTGTCCATCAGGTTTCACAGCTGAGTAGTAGAAAGGAGTGGGTTTTATGTTGAATCAGAATAGAAAGATCTCCAGTGGATGTGGCATTCGGTCATGTACAAGTTGATATTTATAAAAGCTTGACGAAGTATGTTCTTAAGTGCATGTCCTTGGGTTTTTTTCCTATACAAATTCCTAGCTCCTCACATACATCAAGCATGTTGTCCCTGGCACTTGCTGCCGTGTTCCCTTGCTGCTGCTGTCTATTATTATATTACAAATCACCTCAAAACTTCATGGGTTAAAATAACAAGAATTTGGTATTTCTTATTCTATAGGTTGGCAGGGCTCAGCTGGGTGGTTCTGCAGCTGGTCATTCCAGAGGTCACTCATGGCTCAGTATCTCTATGTAATTCAGCATTCACAGCAACTTTAGGGTACATAACTACTGCAAAAAAACCTAGAATTGACTGTACGTGGAATGTCCAGAATAGGCAAATCTACAGAGAGAGAACATAGAGTAGTGTTTGTTGGGGCTGGGATGAGGGGATTAGGAAGTGACTATGAGAGTGGGTATTGTTTTGGGAATGATGAAAATATTCTGGAGTGAAATGGTGGTATCACACAGTTTTTGTGTATCTACTAAAAACAACTTAATTCTATACTTTTAAGAGTTTCTCTTTTTTTATATCTCAACTTTTTTAATATCTCAATTTTTAATTAGGAAGTAGGGAAGCATTAAAAATTGAGCAAAAATAGCAGGAGAAAAGTCAAGAAACAAAGCAAAACTATATCAGAGAGGTAGTAGAAGTTGGCGATAATAACACCAGAAAAAAACTTGAAGACAAAGTTTTGTTCAGCAGTGTATCTGGTTCTAGTAGATGTCTCAGCAGCAGAGCGAGGGCTTAGTTTAGTGGTTGAATAAGATTTGCATAGAAATTAGAGTCAGTAACAAAGCAAGCATAATATGGACTCTGTATGTACCAAACAACAGCAACAAAATTATATACAGAAAAATCAAATAATTCCTAAATTGAATGTTTCAGTCCCCCGTACATTATTATCTTAAAACAAATCAAGCAGATAAAATTTAGAAAGAGGACTCAAGAAATATAATAAACAGCAGAAGACTAATTAGATTTTGTAGCACATTCTATAGAAGGCTGGTTAGGCATTGCGTACTTTCAGGGTTGGGGGAAAGTACCGCTCACATTTTATTCTGAGAACGGAGCCCCTGGATCTGAAGGGGGGGGGTTGAATCACGGATATTGTTTACATCCCCTATTACAAAGAGACAGTAAGAACAAAAATGGGGAAATTTTCTAGCCTTTATTCTCTGATCCTATACATTGAGAGTAGGAGGTAAAATTTGGTAATGTTTTTAAACTCTTACATTTTGGAGGCAAAATAAAATAACTTCTGAGAAACATTTGGGTCAAGGAAGAGATTTTAAAAAAGCCAGGGCTAGACCATTTGTAAAATGTAATGAGTGCACTGTTTTATGTGTGAAAATGCTGGGAGGGGGCCACAGTTGTGGTGTGAAGAGCAGTTGTAGCTGTCAGTGTCCTCACTAGCAAAGCAAGCTAAGCTCAGCTGGATTCTATTACAGTTTAACTAAGGAGCCCGCAGTGCACCCAAAGGAGCAGAGAAAGAATGAAATACTCGTCAGAACTACTAAATAAATTGGAAAATATTTCGACTTGATCAAATAAGCAAAAGGAAATTCCCAGAAAATAATTTAATAGATATAGCATACTTGCAAAGTGATTATGTTTTGAAAAGCCAGCCTTAATAATGAACAAATGGTTCTATACTGTTACATTAGGTATTAAGATGATCATAGTGAAAAGCAGAGAACCTGAGTACCCATCATGGAGGGTAAACAGGACACCTTGAAAACTCCTCAGTGCCCCCCCCCCCACACCCCCCCAATGCACTCATCCAGGCAAGAGCCCTTTGAGGTTCCTGAAATGCTAATGAAGCAGCAGTTCTGCTATAGAACAGTTTCTAATCACAGCAGAAGACAGGAAGCCATCTCTTTATGCACTGAGTCACATGTGGTGCAGGTTTCCAACCTGAAGTCAAGAACAGCAGGAGGGATATGGAGCAGTCTCACAGCTGAGCACAGGGTGGGGAATCTGGGAGCTTGCTAAAATAGGGCATGGCCCTCGAGCTGGGGTAGTGTCTGAGAGAAACTGTGAAAGGTGTCCTCTGGAAGAGTGTTTGTCTCAGTGTGGTTGCTTCCCTTGGCTGGACAGGAGGGGGCCTTAGGTGCTCATTTTAATGTTTGTTGATGCATGCCATCTGTTTATGGCAAGTCATTGATTTTCCATTGGAGTTACATTTACTTTTTCTTTGAAAAAAATTTATATTTTAAAAAAGGTGATTTAGAGAAATATATTAGGTAACTAATCATTTAGGCTATATGTGGATATGTGGCAAACAGTGGAACACCAGTGGTGGGAATTGGGGAAACAGGAACAAACAAAATAGCTTTATTATCATTTGTGCTGTCACACAAGAATCAAATGTGAAAGGGATAAATCTTAAACAGACAAAAATATACTTCCAGTGCCTGCTTCCTCTTAGAGATATTTACAGGTGGGAGGTGATAATGCGTGCCCCTGGGGGTGGTGTGGAGATTGGATTAGAAACTGCCTCAGCCTACAGAGATGCTTCCAGGCCCTTCACTCCTGCTTGCTCTTCACAGTCCACCCTCCTTGCCCACCAGCCAGCCCCTCCTCCCTACTCAACCTGGACCTCCTCAGCCCTGCATGTGCCCCCTCTCCTCAGCTGTGTCCACCATGGTCACAGAAACCCTCAATTGCCTCATCTCACCTGGTAGCACTGACAGGCAGAGGTGAGGGCAGGTGGGCTTTGGCTGCCTGGCCATGGGTACTTTGTGCTGTTCCTCCCACTCAGAGCAGAGCTAGGAGCTGGGTAGGCCTTTGTGACTGGCTCAGCCAGCACTAGCATTTAATCCATAACTTGTAATGCTGGGCTGAAAAACACGGTCCCCAGCAAAGGAATCCGTGGCATCGGTAATCCAGAGGAGAGATGCCTTTTTGCTAGGAATGTGGCAGTGGGAAGGAACACAGCATTCTGGGGGTGCTGGTCCTAATCAGGGCTGGGTGAGGAGAAACGTGTGTGAGAAGGTGAAGTGGCTACATGCACCACCGCACTTCTGAGGTGAGGAAGCCTGGGGTTCCTGGACCTTCCATGCTTCCCCCTCGATCTCCCTTCCCCACCTTCCTTTCCCTTGTGGCCCTTCCATCCCAGGGCTAGCCTTCCAGGACATCTAGGACTTACTGTACTTTGCGCAAGTGTTGTGGAGCCCACCCCAAGCATTTGGTGTGATTTCTGCTTCTGGAATTGAGAGCCTTAACACTGGTGAGGGTTAGCTACCTTCCAGCAGTTAAGACAGGGTGTCAAGTGAACCTGTCTCAGCTAGTTGAGAAGCTCTTAGGGGTCTTCCAGAGTGGGCTCATTATGCATTTACACCATGCAGACACCAAAGTCCCCTGAACCGATTGTAGTGAGGGGACATGTCACCCAGTCCCTGCCCTGGAGAAGCCCCACCTGTGTGTGCAAGTGTGTGTATATGTATATGAGGGGTTGTCCGTGCTAGGACCGAGATCGCCAGAGTTCAGGAGGAGGAGGAGTGAGAGTGACTGGGGGTTCCCTGAGATGTCAGTTCGGGAAGGTTCCTGGAGGAGGTGGAGGTGTCACTCTGAACCTGCTATCGTGTTAGCAGCTTGTGGCCCAGCACTTTCTCCCAACTACAGAGGAAAGGTGGGTTGCGCCCTGGTAGTTAGAATTTTGGATAAATGGGAGGCCACTTTATCTTAAAAGCACATTGATGTAAGTCAGTGTTGCAGTCAAAAGTTGCCCTTTCTGAGACTATTCTAACCAGCGGTGCCTGGTCCTTTTCTTGGCAGTAATCCAGTCCCTCATAGCACTGGTGAACGACCCCCAGCCCGAGCACCCACTTCGGGCTGACCTAGCTGAAGAATACTCTAAGGACCGTAAAAAATTCTGTAAGAATGCTGAAGAGTTTACAAAGAAATACGGGGAGAAGCGACCTGTGGACTAAACTCTGCCGCGACCGATTCCAGCGAGTGTGAGCGGAGACCCCGCAAAGCAGGACTCTGTGGAAAATTGACATGTGCGGCTGCCTGGCGTTTGCTTGTGGCAGTTACTAACTTTCTACAGTTTTCTTAATCAAAAGCGGTCTAGGTAACCTGTAAAGAAAGGATTAAAAATTTAAGATGTTCTAGTTCTGCTTTCTTTGTTTTAAAAATCACTGCTTCAATCTACTTTAAAAGAATGGTGTTTCTTTTCTTGTCCAAATTGATCCAAAACCTTCAATTTACATTTAGCCCTTAAGGTTAAGGAAAAAAAGAAAAAAAAAAAAAGGTTGCAGTTCCCTTTCTTCCCCTGCCCTTGCAACTCCCACTTTCTTGCATTTGGTTTATTTTTCACTCATTCACTTTCCCCCAGACCCAGGGCTATCTCCTCCGCAAAGGAGAAGAGACTGCTCCTGGCAATTCTGGTGGCTTCTCTACTCCCATGTTGCACTGCCCTGTGTGGGAGTTGGTTCAAATTCTCCTGGCTCCAATTTATAACATCCTTTAAAAAGAATTTAAAAACAAGCAAACCACCACTCACCACCCCACCACCTCCCCCTCACCACCAAAACAAAACAAAAACCAGCCATGAAAAGGGAGGCCCAGTTCTTCTGTAAAAATCTGGCCGGTGTTACCACAATAACATTGGTTAAATGGGCAAACCCTGATGTCTGTGTGCGTGATTGAACTTCAGCCTGGCCTGGCCTGCTTGGGGAAACCCAGGTCTGTGGCAACCCCAGGGGAGGGCCTGCCGACCAGAGGATGCTGTGCACTTGTGTGAGGAATTTCTCGCCAGAAAGGCTCCTGCGGCCAAAGGTTTATGCTCCTCCCTGCAGCCACTGTAGAAGACGTGCTGGTCATTGCGGACAACGCCGAAGCCAGAACGTCCATGTGAAATTCCACGCTCACCTGTCTCTGAGCTCCATCTGAATGTGCCACGGAGCTCGCTCTCCCAGCTCCTCAGTGCAGCGCAGCCCCACTGCGACCCTCCCTCGGCACAGTTTGACCCTTTGCGGGGTTGGAATTGGCGGGACTTGGCTGTAGCCAGCAACAGTCTGGGGTTGCCGGTGCCCTGCTGGCCCCTTCCTTCGGAGCAGCCGGCCAGCCCCGGAACAAGGCGGCCTTCCCTCTCCCTCTGGACTCACAGCCTTTGCAGAGTCAAGCTCCACTTGAAGCTCACTCAGTAATATCCTTTACATGTGTTTTATATTGTTTTGACTGCCTTTTTTTGTAGAAATAAAATTGACCTTAGAATTTATCATCAAATGAACTTGTAAGGATTTGAATGTTAATGTCTTTTCAAAGCAAGCGGGACTGCCCCTGAAATCGAGAATGCGGGTCACTGACACCCAGAGGAAGCCGATGGTCCAAACGCCGCATCACCAACTCCTCTTCTGCCACTGGCGGCTGCCCTTCTTGGTTCTCAGGGGGGAACTAGATTCTGTGGAGAAGATGACGTAAAGAAACTGCTTTCTGTTTTTAGCTCTCTTACTTGGGATCTTTCCGGGGCTTTACAGACCTGTAAGATGGTTTCACCTGTGCAGAGGTGGGTGTGATGGGTAGGTTAGGCAGCATAATGTTGTTTAGTTGTCCAGGTGCATGGTCCCTGCGGTGTGTCAATGAACTCAGCTTCTTTAGTCCTAGGTACGCCGGGGGCAGGTTCTGGAGACTCCTGTGTGCCCAGGAACGCAAGAGCGTCAGGCCAGTGTTTCCACATCTGTCTCTTCATTAGCAGAAAGGTGATGATGGACTTTTATTTCACTCACATGCAGATTTGTAATAAAATGCCAAATTCTGTCAGAAGCTATACAAATAAGCCACCATTTGTTCTCATTGCTTCTCTGAACCCAGAAATACTGCCATTTGTGGAGACTGTCCCATTGCTTCGTATCTTTACCAGTGTAGTTCTGCCCGCCTGTCGCCCTCTCACTTCTCTGCTCATCATGGGAGGATACCTCTGTGAAAGCCGGCAGCCCCTCAGGGACTCCCAGCCCTGGCATGGCAGCCCAGGGTTTGCCCCATCAGAGGCCTGGCCCTGGGAGAGCGAGGCAGTGGGTGGGCCCTCCTGCAGGCCTAGGCAGTTTGTCCCGTCCAGCCTGGGCAGTCCCCGGGTCAGGCTTTGAGCACGCTGGCGGGCAGCCCTGGCTGCTCCACAACCAAACAGCTGTGTCCTCTGGAGAAGGGGAGAGCTGTGGAGCGGCCACCGCTGACCCGAGCCCACTCAGGAATTCACGCCCGCCGGGTTCCTCGGAGTGCGCTGGGTCCTCCCCGCCCGCCCTGCCCCTCCCCGCCACACCCATGGCGGAGAATAGGCTTTCTGAGATGCCGCGATCCCGTTCTGCTGCCCTTAATAAAAATGCTCTCCGACACTGGTTTGGTCTTGTGGGTTTCTTCCTTACTGGGAGTGGGCAGAGCCCGGGGCCTATGTTCTTGTATACGGGGGAGGGGCGGCCAGGGCACAGGCTCACTCTTCTGCCTGCTCCTCTCTCCCCACGCCCAACTTTTCCAGAAGAGAGCACAGGGGCGTGTGGTCTTCCCAGGAGGGAAGCCGAAAAGGCTGGAGATCCAGACCATCAGGGCCTGCCAAGGGGCACCTTGAGTGTCAGGGGAGGGGACAGTGGCCTCTCTGTAAATGACAGGAGCAACATTTCAGTACACTTCTCAGTCCCAAGAGAGTGATACTATCAGAGGAGCAGACCGAGGCCCTGAGGAAGGGTGGCTGTCTTGTTCAACATCACCGAACTCAGGAGGGTGTGCCTGAGGGTGGGGCTAGGCCATTTCCTTGAATGATTCCAGCCAGGAACCTGGCCTCCAAGTCCCAGTGACCTCCTGATGTAGTATTGACACAGCATGGGGCCGTGATGCTTGTTTCTTATTTCCCTGTCTGGAATTTGACACCAGCAGAGGCCAGACCTGCCCTGTCAGATAGGTCTGCAGGTGTCCAGAAGGAACAATCCAGGGATGTCATTTTACCAGGAAGCAAGGAGCCAGTCCTTTCCCTTGATCATCAGGAGGGTACTCTGCCGTATTCTAGCACTTCATCCTCCGTGACTCTCAAGATAACCCCATGGACACCATTATCCCTATTTTTACAGCGGAAGAGACAGGTTCAGTGACAGCCAAGGAAACCAGGCCTGGGTTTTTACAGTCTAGCTCCAGAGGCTGTTACAGTCCACCCCTCAGGTTCTTTGGAGCCTGACCCTTGCCAAATCCGGAGCCCTGCAGGACCTTCTTTCAACTTTCTCAACTCAGAGCCACCATTTTCTTGCCTTCCTCACTCTTGTATTAATTGTTTAGCTCAAAATACGCATCTACTTCATCACTCCAGTGCCCACCGCAGCCTGGCTTCTGTCAGCCCCTGGCTCCCTGAGGCTTCCTCTGGCAGGGGCCCCAGGACTTCCTCATTGCGCAGTCCACAGGCTGGCAGCCTCTCAGCCCCGCTCTCTTTCTTCAGTTGGCAGCACCTCCGTGTCTCACCCTGCCAGGGCAGCCCCCTGACCCGGTCGAAGGCAAAGCCAGAGCTGGTCTTGGTTCTTCCTGCCCCGTCTGCACTGGCTCTTCCTCCTCTCCCTGCGTCCCTCATGCAGCACAGGGTGATGGCACCAGCCGGAGAAGGAGCAGAGCTGAAGGTAGCCTGGCTCAGGTGGTACTTGCTAGATAGCTGTTTCCTGGATGATTGGAACATGTTCTTGCAGAAGGGCTCCTGGGGGTACCCTGCATGCCTCTCAGAGGATCAGAGCGCAAATGGCTGCCCGACAGCGGAGGCTGTAACTGAGGCCCAGAGAAAGAAGTCATTTCTTCAGAGGGCATTCTCCGAGCAGGCCTGACTTGGTTAGGAATCCCCTTTTGCCCCACACTCTGCTTTGCGTTCCTCCCCCAGTCCCCTCCCACTGCAGTCCGGATCATACCAGCTATCCCCATGTTCGTGCCAGACTGAGCTCCTTGCAGGCTGGGCTGTCCTGGCACCCAGCCCTGGACCCGCCCACAATAGACCTTCCTTCCATAACTCGTGAATGGGTGGAGAACAGTAAACCCCTTGCCTAAGCCACCCAGTGCAGGTTTGACATAGGAATACCCGCATCTCCCCAGTGGGGCTGCTAATGACCAGCTCCGCAACAGGCCCTGTACGGCCTGCAGCCTTCTTTCTGCCTTATCACTTTGCCTCCCCTTGTGAGGTGGACCTCAGTCTCCGGATTATTTGACCAGTGTGGCCATGGCCCCTCTCTTCTCTCCACTGTTACATGCTCATGGTCCCTAGGGCTGATCTGGGTCTTCAACTCTGCTCACTCCTCTCTCCCTCCCTGAGCAACGGGAACCTGCTCCGCAGCTTCATCTTGTCTGTGCAGACCCCAAATCTCTCCTGTCCACCCACACCTCTGTCCTGAGCCTCAGAGCCACACAGCCAGCTGCCTCCTCCTTTCAGAATAGTGGAACCCCTTCCCGCCCCACCAAAGGAGGTGCCTCTGCCAGCGGGCTGCCTTCAGGCCACCCCTACCAGCTCCAGCCAGCAGCCTGCAGGAGTGTGGCCAGACCCCACTGGACTGAGGCAAGGAGGTGAGGGCAAGGCACTAGGAGGGACTAAGTGATTCCAGTTTACAGCCATGGAGGAAGGGTAGGAGGAAAGGGCCTGTTGCTGAAAGAATCATGGTCAAGGGAAGGTTAGTATGAAAGATGGAGCCAGAAAAGAGTGGGCTGAAGCCACAGTCAAGGGGGTAGAGGTGTAGGATGGGGGCAGCAGGAAGGAGGAGCAAGATCCCACCCTTACCCCTTCAGAAAGCTATATATCCCTCAGGGCTGCCTAGGCCGAGAGAGCTCTTTGGGCGCCCGATTCCTTGCCTGACACACGGCATGGTGAATAAATGAGCAGGTAGCTTCAAAGCCCTGCTCTGCCACTTCTACTTCTTGGTCTGTTAAGATGGAGATACTGGTCCCTGTGCATAGGGGGTTATGTGAGATTAAATGAGACAAGAAGGATCATCATCCCATCTGCCTTTCCACACTCCAGAGTGGGGCAGGACTCTGTGCTCCCAAGAACTCCCTGCCACCTTCCCCATCTGCTCCCTGCCTCTCCTTGATCCAAGACACATAAGCCCCAGTGACAGGGCATGCACACATCACCAGGTCTGGTGAGGAGTCCTGGATCCCATTTCCACAGAAGACTGTTCCTCCTGGAAAAATTTAAATAGGCTTCCAGGACCTCCTTAGATCCGCCCCTAGGATGGCAAAGGGATGCCTGTTAAGAACAGGTGACTTTGGGGGTGCTTGGGTGGCTCAGTCAGTTAAGCTTCTGACTCTTGATCTCAGCTGAGGTCTCGATCTCACGGTTGTGAGGTCAAGCCCTGCAAAACAACAACAAAACAAGTGACTTTTTTTTCTCTTTTTATTTTTATTTGCATTTATTCTTCAGAATTTACTCCTGGGCCATAAGTTTTTGTTTCTTCAGTTTCTTCTGGGATATCTTTTTCTTCTGTGCAACCTCCTCTTCTGGTTTAGGAACAATCTGCTCTTTTTCAGTAAGGATCATCTCAATGTGGCTGGGAGAGCTCATGTATTTCTATGCCGCAACTTGGGGGCTTTGTTCACCTGGATGTGCTCAATGACCAGAGAATCAGCATCTAAACCCTTAAGTTCAGCATTACTCTCTGCATTTTTAAGCATGTGCGGTAAAAATTCAGCACTCTTCTTGGGCCACCGACCCTGTGTCCAGCCCCACTGTTTGGCCTGGGCACACCTACCAACTCCACCATTGTAGCGATGGAATGGCACACACTGCTTCTATAAAGTGACGTCTTTCAGATACTTGGTGGCTTTTTGGATATGCATACCCTTGATGGCCTGGGGAGTTTCACGTGTGTTCTTAAAGTGAACACGAAGATTTGAACCTCTTGATTTACATGATTTCATAGGGTTTTCTGGGTCAAGCGAATAGCAAACCATTTTCAGAGGTCACCTCAGGCCGCTTAGGGGAAGAGGAAGAAAAACAAGTGACTTTTTAAATAAAATTTGAGATTATGATATTACCTTCCAAAAAGTAGCTGGTGAGACATTCTTCTCCCAACCTCCCTCCCCCCAAAGTATAAACTTAAGCCTGAACAAAACTAGAACTTGGAGTATGTTTTGCATACCTAATCTGTTATAATGACCTGGTTTGGGCCCTGAAGGAGTTGCTTTTGCCCTGTCTTGTGTCTGTGAACGTTTTCACAGTTCCCAGGGCACAGTTTAAAAGCCACCCAAACTTGGGGTCCCTGGGTGGCTCAGTTGGTTTGAGCTACTGTCTTCGGCTTAGGTCATTATCTCCAGGTCCTGGGATCAAGCCCCACATGGGGCTCCTTGCTCAGCGGGGAGTTTGCTTCTCTCTCTCTCCCTCTGCCCCCCCCCCCGATCGTTCTCTTTCTTTCTCTCTCTTTAAATAAACTCTTAAAAAAAAATAAAAACCACCCAAATTTACAAGACATATATTTTATTAATACAGCGCTCTCTCTCTATCATATCTGAACAAGGAAGATGCTTTGTGGCAGGCCCCAGGCTCACATGTCACAGGGCCTACCTGCCAGCAGCCAAGATGGGTTGCCAAAGCTCTGGCTGCCATTCTGAGCCATGAGGACCTGGACACAGAGGTGACAGGGGCCTGCCCAGGGAAGTATGTTACTGGACCCCGGCTCTCAGCTTGGTTCCAGGCTGTCCCAAGGCTTGACACTGTGCACTAAAGGACATTTATGCTTGGCTGTCTGTCAGGGGCATGGTGGGGAGGGCTCCAGGAATGTTTCCAGACTGGCTTCTCCAAGGACCCCTTCCCCAGGCCTCTTGGAGTCTAGGTTGTGGAGTGTGCAGAGCTGCACTCCCTCCTGTGCAAGTCGGGCCCGAAGTGTGGGCGCGGTGAGGACACGCAGCTCATGCAGCCGCTCCCAAGAGCAGGAAAAGGCATCGGGGCCCTCACCGCAGCCCCCGGCCGGAGGCACACTAGGGTAGCCAGGGTGTGCCATCAGCTCAGCTGTCAGGGTGTGGCCCGTGGGTATGCCTTCCAGGGCCCAAGCTAGTGCTCCTGATAAGCGGTGAGCAGACATGTGCCGACCGCAGGTGCTCAGGCCCACGAAGGCATCCGTCCACCTGTGGATGTAGGGGCATCAGTGGCGAGGACCAGCAGGGCTGTGATGGGCAGGGCTGGGGTGGGGGCGACGTCAGTGGACGCCTGAGGAACGGCCATGGCTGTCAGGTGAAGGGCCAGCAGGACCCACTGGGATATGGGCGGGGATATGGGCGGGACAGGGGCGGAGGGCCTCACCGTAGGCCGTGTCGGGAGAAGGGGCCCACAGCGGCCCGGGCGTCGCGCTCCACCGCACGGGCGAAGGCTTGCGCGGGGGCCTCGAGCCACGCGCAGCGGTCCACCCCGCACTCCACCGGCAACCGTGTGAAGCGCACCCCGTTGGTCTGCAGCGTCTCTGCGAACACCTGGCACACGCCTGCGGGCGGGGAGGAGTCAGTAAGTAGCACGGCCTACTACCTGGGATAACCTCTCATCCCGGGCGCCCCGCCAGGGAACAACGACCCCCCCCAACCTGGGAGCACGTGCACGTGCTGGTGCCCGTCCACGTGAGTGGGGTCCCTGCCCAGTAATTCTCGGAAGCGTATCAGCTGGGCCTCCAGCTCTTCCCGCACCTGGAGAGAGAACGACAAGGCACCTTGAATGTCGGGGAGCAGCAACCTAGGAGGACTCCCTCCAAGTGCCTCTGCGTGACTGCTCCATTATGAACCAGGAAAGCATCCATCGTGCGCCCCTGCCCCTAATGGCTTCACGGTACCCTCGGGACGAGCCTTGGGGGTCAACGCGAGCCTCTTCCTGCAGCCGCACCTCCGCACCTGGGGCAAGGCCACGTCTCCGGCCGCCACCGCCTCTCGAAATTCCATCTTGCCGAGGAAGAAGCCTTCGGGGCTGAGCAGCGACGAGGCGCCGGGGCGGGCCGGGCCCACGGGGCGGCCCTCGGACAGGTTGGCGTGGAGGCCCGTGGGGATTTGGTGCCTGCAGGCGGAGCGCGAGCGGGAGCACTGGCGGCCGGAGCGGCGGCTCCCCAAGCCCGCCCCGACCCTGTAGGGTGTAGCCACTCACCTGCGGGCCAGCTCCGCCGCGCTCTCTGCGGCTGTGCCGTTGACCAGCAGGGACACGCTGGTCACAGCCCCTGCCAGGAAGGCCTCTACGATGCCCTCATCGCGCCGCGGGCAGTAACCAAAGTCGTCGGCGGTGACCACCAGCAGCACGCGCGGTTGAGCCATGGATTACTCCCGCGGGCTGCTCAGGACTCTAGAGGACTGGATCCAGGCCCCACCCCTAGACGCAGTCCGAGGCTCCGCCCCGATGCGCACGCCCCGGCGCCGCTGAGCTTGGTCTTTGTTCTCGCCACCTACCGGTCCCGGTGTGGGCCTGCAGCGATCCCCTCCCACCACACAGTGCGCTCGCCCTAACCAAACACCATGGCTGGATATTGTAACGCGGAACTTTCAGTAACTGCAGAAACGTTATTCAGAATGAAAAATACAGGGGCGCCTGGGTGGCTCAGTCGGTTAAGCGTCTGCCTTCGGCTCAGATCATGGTCTCAGGGCCCTGGGAATCTAGCCCCGGGTGGGGTCTCTACTCACCCTGGAGTGGGCTTTTCCCTCTCCCTCTGTCTGGCCTCCCTGCCCGTGCTCTCTCAAATAAATACAATCTTTAAAAGAAATATGAAAAATAGGGGGGGGGAACCCTGTTGGAAAAAAAAAATTATCGCACCTTTCCCTAAGTTCACCACTGTTAACTTTCTGGATAGTGTCCTTCCAGTATTTTTCTAAGCAAATAAACAAACCCGATTCCTTTTCTCCCCCACCCCAAAGTTTTTGTGTTGTTTTGAGACGATAATGATCACATCAATGTTATCTCGTTCTTGTAATGTTTCATTTTTTGATAGTGACTATGAGCTTTTTCAAATTGCCTATTTGGTGATTTTTTTTTCTAAGAAGAGGCTTTTTCTTTCTTTCGTTCTTTCTTTTTCTTAAAATAAAAGTTCTGAGTTAGAAAACATGTATACCAATGGCTTTGTTTGAGGACGTGTTAGTCCCTGATTCCACAACTTGAGCTCTGTGTCAGGCTACAACTTACATTTATAATCTCATTTTTTTCCCCTCTGTAGTCCAGAAAAACTTTCCTTACTAATGACTATACAAATAGTCACCATGGTTGACAGAGAGTTTTTATTGTGATGTGGCTGCGTTGATGTTCCCAATGGAAAGTGCAGCATTTGTGTCCAGCCCATGAGGTTGGTAATGTCATTCCTGTTTTACAGTTGAAGAAACTGATGCTCAGAGGGGAGAAGTGTCTTGCCCAAAGTGAGCCTGCCAGGAGTAGTGGAGCTGGGACTGGCCTCCAAAGCTCTGGGCCTATTCTGGTTGTGCCTACCCTGGTTGTCTAGTCCCTAGCTCTCCCCTGGGTCAGGGACAAAGAGGGCAGAGCCGAGCTTGAGCATAACAAATCATATGCTCCTCGTGGGATGTTGTACAGATCAGAGGCCTCATAGTGCTCTTCATCAAGCTCTTGGCATAAGGATTGTTGTGTTCAGTTGTGATTATTGAATTGTTGGACTTCAGCTATCTTTCTCCCCTGGGAAGCTGATCCTGGAAAGCCAGAGGCCCTGATGGCAAGCAGATTGGAAAGAGGAAATTGACATTTATTCAGCACCTACTGGTATTAGAAATATTAGAGATTAGGGGGGAGTGCCTCAGTTCGCACCCTTGAAGGAACACCATCTGGTAGACAGGTAGCAATACAAGGCTTCTCAGAGGAGGTGACACCTGGAAGGGACATTAGTTTACTGGGCCTAGGGGGAAAGGAGGGAAAAGAGAGAGAGATACCCAGGGCTCTTGTTGGAGTGCCGGGTGTGTTGTATGCAGATTTGATTTAATCTCCATACTCCCATATGGAAGGACGCTCAACTATTTATAGAGGAGGAGCAGATGATCAGAGAGGTTGAGTCACATTGTCAGGAAACAGCAGAGCTAGGAATTGAAGCTAGGTCTATGCCTTAGAACTGGGACTCTTACACTGCGCTCAGAGACATCGCACAGGGAAGAGGGCTGAAGACCACCCCCACCCCCAACCCCCGCTGGGGTCGTCCACGCTGGGCGAGGGGAGAACCCTAGGTAGGAGCAGTAAGAGAGCAGGAGGCCCAGGACAACGCAGCGACCAGAGTGGAGTCGAGGAAAGTGCTTGTGTCACCAGAGGAGGCCGTGCTTTGACCCTTTAGGGTTCCCCTCAGGTGCGCAGCCCGACTCCTCCTGGCTTGGGGGAGCAGTCAGAGGCATTCTCTGACACCACAGCGAATGTGGGCGGGGCAAAGAGCGGCGAGGGAGGGGCCAGTCTGGGTCCCGACCCCAGCCATTGTGACGGGTGGGGGGCTAGAAGGCATTGCGAGCCAATCAGGACGTAGCATGTAAATGAGCAAGCGGGGCAGGTGGGGGCGACTCCAGAGCCCGGTGTCGCCGCCCTGGAGAGGGCGCAGGCTACATTGACTGGCACCGAGCGAGGCGCGGACTCTGGTGAGCAGGTCGGCTCTGGGCCAGGGGCAGACGCCAGGGAGTTTTGGGTCTAGGAGGAGGGAGGGTCGGACACACTCAGGCCCAGAGATGGTCGGAGACAGCATGGGGACGTCCTTGGGGACCCCACCCCCGACGACTCTGGACACGGACGGTGCGCAGACGCCCAGGGGACGCCGAGCAGCGGAAGGGCCCGACGCGTGAAGGACGTGGGGTGAGGGGAGCGAGGGATCCGCGGACCCCGGGACCGCTGACGCAGTGGCTGACAGACGAAGGGAGAGTTGGACTCACGGAGGCCTAGGGAGACCCTCACGCCATCTCCCCGCCCGGCGCAGAGAGGCATCCGTGGCTGTGCTGCGGAACCCCAGAGGAGGAGGATAGCCGGCTCGTCCATCCTCACCATGGCCAGCTGCCGCCACCATTCCGGATACTTGGCAGACGACGAGGCCGGCCACCCCACCTACATGGCCCGGGTAAGTGTGTCCGGCAGGGCCCTGACACCCAAGATGCCCCCAAATGTGCCCCACCAGCTCCCGCACCCCAGATCACAGCCCCCCTTTCTCAGTGCCTATTGACCTCCTCTCTGAGCCTCTAAGTGACATTCTTATCACCTTGACCACTCCTCTGACCGCCCGCTGGGCCCTAGTCACCCGCAACTTCATTCACCGGGTCCCCTGACCTCTAGCAGCTCTGGAGGAGCTTGGTAGAGTGGTACCCGAGTGGGAGCATGGAATCTACTCAGGGCCCAAGCCTCAAAGTTTCAAAAGCAGCCATGGGGGGCCCAGGGGGCAGGACTACAGGTGGTCTGTATAGTGGAGACAGGGCTGGTCTGCTCAAAGTACAGATGAGGAGCCCAAGTAGGGCTCAGGGGTTTGTGATTGCCCATTCCTGCCCTGTGTGAGGGCAGAAGTGGGTTTTCAGGCTCCCTAGCCACATCTTGTATATATGAAATGTATGTGTCAGGGAAGCATCAGGGTGACCCGAAATCGATCCCTACTTTGCAGAAGAGGAAATTGGACCTCAAGCGGGGCCATCGTGCCCAGGGTGTCACAGCCTGCAGTGGCAGAGCCAGGGTCCAAATCCAGGAACTTTCTGACTCCAAAACACACTTCCTTCCACTGCCCACTTCCACTCAGCTCCTGGCACCCTAGGAGGACCTGCAGGGACCCCTACCCCTGTGGACCATCCCTGCCCTATGTGACATGTCTGTCTGCTCTGGTGCAGCCGCCTAAGAAGCCACTGTTCCCGGAAATGGGGCAAGCCTCCAAGTTGGGCCACATGCCACACCCACCATCAAGGTACACCCCCACAGACAGCTTAAGACTCCAAGGCCACCGACGAAACCCAAGGGACGCTCAGCCCTTTGGTAGCTTCCTGGATTTCCTCGTCGAGGGTCAGGTGCTAGACAGCCTACAGACGGTGGTGGAAGAGGCAACTGAGCGCGTGACCACTATGAAGACAGCGGCTGGGGTGCCACTGGTGGAGGTGCAGGACCCGATAGAGGTGCCGAGGGGTGGGCGGCAGGTGCGCGCCCGGCCCAGCCTCAGTACCCTGCACCGGCACCGGGCCCGGCGCAGCCTCTGCACTGGATGGCCCAACAACTACCCATCCTCCTCCAGCTCCACGTCTGACTCCCATAGCAGCTTCACAGCTGGCTGGCTGGGCTCGCACAGCCAGGACAGTGACCTGGGCACGCATGGCAAGGGCTCACTGCCACCCATGAAGGACAGGCTTTTGCTGGAGAAGAACCTCAAACGGCTGCTGAAGCTGGAGAACAGAGGGGTGAGATCTAGGGCCATGGCCCAGGGTGGGCGGGATGGACCCCAGTCCAGAGCCCAGGGCCAGGGTTAGGCCTTGCTTGGTTGCTCTTGGATGCCCCTGAAAGCCCCCCTCTCTCTGCAGAAAGGCCTGGGTCAGTCCTGCTTCTGGAGGGACTCCCTGCTGTGGGACACACTGGGCAGCCAGGCCAGCAGCCAGTGGACCCAGACCCAGGAGCCACCTCTGTCCTGGTGCTCAGGCCTGCTGGACTCAAGCACAGGCACACCCCAAACATCAGAGCCCGGGCCTGGAGAACAGGAACTGACCTTCCTCAAGCGAGGGTTTGATAAGAAGATCAAGTCCTTGTTGAGCCAGTCAACGTCCTTTGACCTGCCTGGCTACTGTTCATTCCGTGAGCCCCATCAGACTCTGGACTTTCTGGCTGAGCACAACCTCTTCCCCGCCTTGCAGAGTGTGGTCCGCCAGGCTGTGGACAAGCTCAGTGGAGCCTGCCACCACGATGGCTGCCCTCTCTTCCCATCAGAATGGGAGCCCCCAACAGAGCCCAATTTTGACTCCACAACAGGTTCCAAGCCAGCCACACCCACCGATGGGGAGGAGCCTGAAGATGTGCTTCCCACCCAAGTCTCCAGCTCCAAGATGATTCGAAGAAAGAGCATCAAGGGCAGAGGATGGGCCAAGCCCAAGGAAGGTGGTTCCCCTGTGTCTAGTACCCAAGTGGCCACCAGATTCAGGATCGAGGTGACACCCACAGAAGAACCCAAGGTTCCCTCACCCCACCCCAGAGAGGAGGCTCCTGACCAGGACCCTGAAGTACAGAGACCACACATACCTTCTTCTGGGCCCCTGAGCTCCAGCCAGAAGGCCCATCCCTGGCGGAGCGTGCACCCCACCCTGCCTGCCCCTGGGATCATGGTGGAAGAGTCCTCCAGCCAGACCCAGCCTACCATCCAGAGCATAGCTCCTCTCACCTCCCCCTGCGCTGGCTTTTCCCACCACCTTCCTGTGCTCTCACCGCTTGCCTCCTCAGTAAGAAGCTTCTCCCCATCTCCTGTTTCACTGTACCCAGACACGACCTCAAGGGTGGGGCTAGGAAGCTTAGGGAAAGGTCTGCATGGGAAAGGCTCCTTCAACTACCACCTTTAGCAACCACTGTCCCAGGTGTCTTGCCCTGCACAGTGGAAACCACCTGAGCAGGTGACAAGCTGATGGGGAGCAGAAATCCTGGCCTAAGCTACTGCCAGGTGTGGACAAAGATGAATAAAGCCTATTTTTTATCCTGGGTATTTTTGTAATGTTTGCATGTGAATCTCAGAGGCCCTTCCATGTGGGCAGCGTCCTGTCCCTTGTGGATAGCAGCCTAAGCCAGAGTGGGGCTCTGCATCCTAGGTCCGGCTCCCTCTGCTTCCACTACCTAGGCCAGGACTCTCCAGTGTGTCTGCTGAGAGGGAGTTGCTTAGGTAGGGTATGGAGAAGACAAAGGTGGCTTCACCCTGGTAGGTCCCCAGCACAGCCCCTGACTCTCGTCTCCCCCATCGAGGCCCAGGCAGGCTTCCCTCCTCTGAACCTTGGCCTGGGGGAGAACCTACCAGAGCTGAGGTTATCCACGCTCCAGTTTGGCTGACCCCATGACTGACGTCACCAGCCTTGCCGCAGGCCTGACTGGTGTGGTCGGCATGAGGAGGCCACTGTGGTAAGTGTGAGGGTGTGGCTGACACGCAGGACCTGTGCTCAAGCTGTGGACTGAGACAGCACAGCAAATGTGGCAGGGCCATACGGCTAGTGTGACGACAAGCGTGGCATCTGTGTGGGTGACGTGGAGGGTGCTCTGGGTGTGAGGGGCACCCTACGGCACTGGGAGTGGCATGACGTGTCTCCCTTTCCCTCCCTGGCTGTTGCACAGAGCCCCAGTTACAAGTTCATGAGGAAGAAGCCACTACCCTCCGTCTCTTCCAAGTCTACCCTATCCCACCTCTCCAACCCCTTGTACGAGGAGCTTGTCAGCTACTTGGTAGAGCAGGTCGTGTCCTTGCTCATCTACAAGTACAAGTTCGAGAAGAACCTTTCCAAGCAGCTGGGCTTCATCTCCTTCTCTGTCACTGAGACGCTCATGGACCTCTTCCTGGGATTCAAGAAGGTGAAGGGCTCCCGCATCTGCCTGTCCTCAAAGATCGACTGGAGCTGTCTGCTGCGCAGGCTGGAGGAGGCCGAGTGGGACCGGCAGCTGTCCAGACAAGCATCCCAGCATGACTCCGCCTCCCAGCGCAGCTCCCGCCGCGGCACCATCCACCGCGGGGCCCCGCACCACGGGGCGCCCCACGGCAGCACGGAGTCCCCCTCCACACTGCTGGAGCCGGCCCCCCAAGCGGATCAGGAGGAAGCTGCGGAGTCCAGCTTCGACAGTGAGTTTCCCGACTCTCAGCTGCTCGCGGCTCAGGAGGATACTACAGCCGAGGAGCAGGAACCCGCGAACCAGCGAGAGCCCAGGCCCTCCGTGTTCCCGGGCCCAGGCGTGGGCTCTCATCAGCGTCAGGAAGTAGTAGACATGGACAGTCAGAGCAATGAGGTGGAAAAGGATGAGCAGGAGGAGGAGGATTTCTTAGGGGACAATGGCCCATCCCAGAGCTCCCCCAAGCCTCAAGTGGAGATGGGGCTCAGCCACTCCACAAACGTGGGCCGCAGCGACCCTCCATGAGGCCCCCTGTAGGCTGCACCCAGCGCTTGATTCCCTGCTCCTCCTCTTACTCCAATGGACTGCTGCCCTGCACCCCCCTCCCCGCCCCAGCCCGTCCCTGCCCTGAGCAGAGGTCAGGGTGGGCTGGATGCCCATGAGGAGCTCTGCTGGCCTGTCAGGGGAGCCAACAGGGGAAATAAAGCTTGTGTTGATAGAGCACAGTTTTCTCGACCAGAGATTGCAGCCCCACTTCTGCAGGCCTGAGCACCTGCCCTGGAGTAACACCTCAGGCAGGCCTTCCTGATAGCTGCCGTGCTCTGACCCCCTGACCTAATGTGCTCTGCTTGAACACAAGTCCCTGCTCCGGGCTCTTCCTCCACTCCAGTGTGCACCTTCCTGACTCTTCCAGCCTCTTAGGACTCTTTCCCTAACAGTCCCTGTGCATCATGGTCCTGCTTCCAGAGGGCTCCTCTTCTGCCAGGGCAGCACCCTGCTCCCTCTGACATGCCACACCCTCACGTTCCTCTTGGGGAACCATGCAGTCGCCCTTTCCTGATGCCCGCTGTCTTTCTAATTTGTATTTCCCATCTCTAACTCCCGAATCTGGAGGGTCCAAGCTAGGTCCCATGGAGGCTGCTGGCCTGGCAAGCTGTGGGTTGGCTGCCCCAGGCTGGCCATGTGATTATTACCCCCTTTCAGCAGTGCCCTTGGGCCAGACAGCTCTCTCTGGAAGGGTCTGCAGACTTGGCTGGTGTTGTGATTGGCAGGTCTCATCTCCAAGGTTCTCCTGGGGCTTCTGGCCATCCTGTGCCACCAGCTCAGCACCCTCTCCCTCTCTGCCTTCCCAGGGCAGCCTTTATGTTCCCCAATCCAGGCATCTTCACCCAGGGAGGCGCTTGACCTCTCACCACCACCCTGTCACCCTTGTGGCCAAGAGAGCACGTGAAGATGCTCCACTCTGCCTTGCTGTGTGGGCTTCCACTGCAGGGAGACTGGCAGGTGTCCCACACCTCCCCCTGGATCCCGCCTGGGTGTATAGAGCCCAAGTCTGCTTAACCCAGCCTGACTGTGCTCAGTGGCCCACGTGTGAAGACAAAGTGATTATAGAGCTGCTCTGGAGCCGGGCAGAGAGGACCTTCCACACCACATCCATGCCCTGCAATTCGGGAAGAAACACTTCCTCTGCTCTAGTCAAGAGGGACCAGGGCCCTAAGGTGGGTGGGTCAGGGACCCATTGTTCCAGAAAGCTCTTGTGGCAAGGATCTTTTAGGGCATATGCTCAGCTCATAAGGCCCATTCCCTGAGGCCACCCACTGCCACCACCACCATAGTGTAGGGCCACAACATTTTTGTACCTTCTTGCCATACCACTTGGACACAGTTGATTAGCCCTCTTGATACATCCCTATTCCAAGCTGGGCCAGTCAGGTATTTTTTCCCCAGGAGCTGGTAATTGGGATGGACCGAGATGTTTTTTTGAAGTTTATTTTTATTTATTTATTTATTTATTTTTAAAGATTTTATATATTTATTCATGAGAGACAGAGAGAGAGGCAGAGGGAGAAGCAGGCTCCCAAGGAGCAGGGAGCCCGATGCGGGACCCGATCCCAGGATGCTGGGATGAGCCGAAGGCAGATGCCCAACCATCTGAGCCACCCAGGCGCCCTTAAGTTTATTTTTAATAATCTCTCCACCTAAGGTGGGGCTTGAACTCACAACCCCGAGATCAAAAGTCGCATGCTCTTCCAAATGAGCCGACTAGGCGCCCCAAGATAGACTGGGAGATTCTGGCGCAATTTGCACTGATTGCTAAAGACCAGTGTGGACACTGTGGCGCAGCCATCTCCCAGCCTTCTCCAGAGAGGCAAGAAATTCTGTTTGCAGAAAAGAGCCTGGAGGGGAACCCTAGGGCTCTGAGACACAGCAGCCGGCACAATACCTGCCAACTTTCCAGGTCTCTCTGCCAAGTCCTCAAGGTGGGAAAGAGAACATATCCCCACCCTGGCCTCAGAAGCACATATCTAGAGAATGTGAAGTAAGAACCACTGGTCCTCTTGCAGCTTGTGCTCCAAAGTCCCAAAACAGCATTTCTGTGCTATTCTCTTGGTCAAAGCAAATTACCATGCCGGCCCAGATTCAGTGTTTTGATGAGAGAGTCCATGTCTTGATGAGAGAAGCAGCTTACACTTATGGGGATGGGAGGAATTGTTCGTAGCCATATTTGGAGGCCAGCTTACCAACCGCCCCCCCACCCCTCCCCATAGCTTTTTGCACCTTGAGCAATCCCTGGAACCAAGTTGAGCAGATGAGCATGTGAACCTGAAGACAATCTGTGACTGGAAAGTGGAGGTCTGTGGAGACACCATAATCCGCCCTGAGCATCTGCACGTAGGGTGAGCTGGGGAAGGTGGTCTGCAGGGGGAGGCAGGGAAAGGGAATAGCTGTGAGAAGGCATGAGGCCCTGAGAAAGTCGAGGGACAGACAACCACGTTGGCTTCTCCTACTCCAGTTCTGGGGTCTGTGCTATACTTGGAATCCTGTTTTTGCCTGTGGGGGAGATTGCCTGCTGTGTCCTCACCATCCTCTGGTCTTACATGCAGTGGGAAGCTGTTGGCAGCTTTAAGCAGGTGCCTGGCATGATTTGATATATATATATATATAAAGATTTTAAGTAATCCCTACACCCGCATGGGGCTCAAACTCACAACTCTGAGATCAAGAGTTGCATGCTCCACTGACTGAGTCAGCCAGGCACCCCTGATTTAAAAAAAAAATTTTTTTTTAAGTAGGCTCCACGCCCAACGTGGGTCATGAACTCATAACCCCTGACATCAAGAGTCACATGCTCTACTGACTGAGCCTGCCAGGTGCCCCCTGATATAGGCTTTCTAAGGTATAAATCACTCCCCTGTATGGAGAGTGATTTGGAGGGGCCTGAGCAGCGGAAGTACTGAAATCTGTCAGGGGGCGATGGTCCATATCTGGAGAGGCGATACCGATAGTGGAGAGTGTCTTGGATTAGGGTGGTGATAAGGAAAGCAGGAGAGATGCTTTACAATCTGTTTTGGATTTAGAGCCATCAAGATGTGTTGGATGAGATGTGAGAAATGTGGTAAAGAGGGGAATTAAAGATAAGTCCCAGTTTGGGGGCTGAATCAAGGCAAACGGAGGTGCCATTACTGAGACTCAGAAGCCTGGGGGAGGGGGGAGAGAAGTTTGAGGGAGGACACCAAGAATTCTGCTCTGGACATATTAAGTCTGAGATGCTTGTTGGTATGTCCAAGAGGACATATCCATTGCTTCCCAGATTATACTCTAGCCCCTCCACCGTGGAGTGGAGGCCCCTCAAGTGAGTGCAGGGTCTGCCAATGCCAGGGCAGACCTTTAGCAATTTAGACACCCTAAACCCTGAAAAGATCAAGTGTCTTATCCCATATGTAATTCAAAATAGAAACACTATTAAACACGAAAACCCCCAAATTACATGTTGCTGTAATTAAAATGGCTTTACTCTGGATTTTTTGAATGCAAAATTCAGAATGATTTAATTAAATATAAACTTTTCTCCCTGCTTTGTTGGTGCCTCAAGTTCACGGGTAGTCAGCCTATTGAGTAATGTAGCCCAGAGCCAGTTCCCCAGTGGCCCCCAGCACGGGGCCTGGAGTTAAGTCAACATAAGAACGTTCCACAAATGAATAAATAAACAGTCGTATAAGTTTTTCTCCCTTGAAGATTGAGCTGACAGCCCTCTGAGAAGGCACTGAGACAGCGACCCACTCATATCGGAAACCTGGCACACTTAGTACCCACAGTCACTTGGTCTCCCAGGGTCCTGGTTTCCTAAGAAACTTTGGGGCTTTCTGGTGAGAACCAATCATTATCCTCACCACCACAGATCCCTGCTGCCCTCTGCTGCCCGATGGCCGAGTGCATTAAAAAACCCCAGGGTCCAGGGACTGAGGTGACCCATTCTCAGAAAGGAGGCAATGACCGAATGACTGGGGAATTAACTAATCCCGGGATCCAGGGACTGAAGAACCAAGTTATCCAGTATCTGAGATCCATCGACCTCGTGACCACAAAATCTAGTGGTCCAGCAACCCTGAAGCTGAGGACCCATAGTTGAGAGGAAAGATCGTGATTGAAAGCCCGACGATCCAAGATCAAGGGGTTTTGTGAACACGTGCCCGCAGGGTCCTGGGATCCCCAGCCAGGTGTCCAGGGGCTCAGAGGCCCCTGGGTGGGGCTCCCGAACCTACAGCGCTGCTCTGCAGCGTCTCTCTAACCACTCGGCGCCGCACCAACCTTCCCTTAGCATTCATTGGTGAGTCCTCGGAAGCGTGGACCAATCAAAGCCCTCCTCGTGTCTCCAGCCCCCTCCCAGTCGCCGCTCTGGAAAGCCGGGGGCGGGCCCCCTCAATGCCGACCCAATGGCAATGCAGGCGGAGCGCCGTGCTGGCTGGCGATTGGCTGCCCGTACTGGCTCTGTCAGAGCCGGATTGGCTGGTGGCGGAGACGGAAGCGTCCCATGGGCCCGAGCTGCCGGAGCTCGGCCGGGGCGATGTGGAGCGCGGGCTGTGGCAGAGCTGCCGGACCGGCGCTTCTGGGGCTGCTGCTGACGCTCTTGGTGCCGAGCAGCGGTGCCGCCAAGTCCGGCGCAGGGCTCGTGACCTGCGGGTCGGTGCTGAAGCTGTTCAACACGCAACACAGGGTGCGGCTGCACTCGCACGACATCAAATACGGATCCGGTGCGCGGGGCCCGAGACTGGGGTATCGTCAGGGGGGCGGAGCCCGAGGCCGGGGGTTTGAAGGTGGGGTGGTCTTGAGGGACTCTGCAGGGCTACGAGTCTGGGGGTCTTCAAGGAGCCTGGCTGGGGGACCAAGGGGGCCAAGGACCGGCCGTTTTAAGGGGGTCGTCGGGATATCGGGGGCGAGGAGGGTCGTCCGGGAGCTGCAGGCCAAGGGACTTGGGAGTTCAGCCAGGGACCAAGGGCCAGAGTTGGGGCCTGGGAGTGAGCCGTTGGGGTCCCAGGATTGAGGTTGTCTTGGAAAGTTTATGGTGTCCGGGTCAAGGGTAGCGA